GCTGTTGCCACACTTGCCTTGCGGAGTCGAGATTGCCCTGGCTGGAGTGTATCCCGGAGACATCGGTGATTTCAGTAAACAAAGTTCTGAACATCTGTGGCCGGGCACATGTTTTCTGAGTATATTAAAAGACTAAACTATTTTTTACAAAGCCTGAAATACAACTCCTATAAAAACAAGACTCCCTTGGGAACAAGGACCATCCCTTCACACTCATCACTTTGCTAAGCTTGACCTTGGCACTCTGAGTGTCTCCTTTTCCTCGCCGAGGCCAGCCTGCTTGCACACACATCTTCTTCCTCCACTCCCCACCTGGATCATCGGTTCCTAAGGAAGTGAGAAATGGGGGGCCAGCAACTGATTTATTTGTTGAGTCCTGTTTATGAGGAACTGCTGCCAGATGATACTTGAAGTAGGTAACAAAAAAAAAAAAGTGTTAGCTAATGATGGCTGTTGTCTCCTAATGATGGCGAAATAGTTCTGCTCGTCTAGTTCTTCCAACTAATCAGTGACAAATAACTCCTGATAGCATAATTGGCTGTGATATAATCAGTTGACAATGATTCTGTAGATTTTTGTAGCATAGTTTGCAGAATATTTTCTATAACATCCTGAGGCAGTGCCTATCTGTGAGGTTGTCATCATTATGTTCATTTTACAGATAAGAAAACCTGGACTTAGGGAAATAGGTTAACTTGACAAAGGTTTTACACGGTAAGTCAAGAGCCAAGACTATCAGCTGATGGGAGGGTAGAGAAGAAGGGAGGTAGGCAGGTGGCAGTGGGAGCTCCCAGTGCTCCTTGGAAAGGGGTGCATTGTCTGTAGAGGATTTAAAATAAGAAAACCAAATAAAAGCAGTCTGCTTTTTATTATCACCACTAGAGGCCCAGTGCACAAAATTTGTGCACTGGTGGGGTCCCTAGAGGCTACCGGCTGCCAGCTGGGGCCTCCCTCCCTTCCCCTGACTGGCCCTGCCTTCTAATCAAACTCCTGGATGACCTTCCTGTCCAGGGGGCAATTTGCATACTATGCTTTTATTATGTGGGATGAACCAGTAATTCTAAATAATGTCCATAATAAAGCACTCTTCCCTGCTGGGCACTGAGAATCTAGCCTTTTCTAGCCTCTGATGGGGACGTTCAGAGAGCAAGTGAGCCTCATTCCCAGTCACACAGAGAGTTCTCTCAGGGCTTTGTAAAGTGTTTCGTGCTCCAAGTCCCTGCCATTATTAAAGCACATACCTTTCCTTTGGGGATGCTCAGAGCCTTGCAGAATTATGCTTTCCAGGGAGAAATAACTGCCATCTGGCCAAATGTCAGGAAGCACCTCAGCCTACTTATCAGAACTTCCTAAGAATCTTCTGGAAGAGCAGCACCCATTCACTCCTTCAGCAAGATGAGCTGAGCATGATGGAAGCAGGAGCCATGGGTGCAGGTGGCTGGCAAGGGGAGGAAGGCAAGGGTTGTGGGCAACTTCTTTTGATGATGAGCTGGGAGAATTTGTGCCTGAGATCTGGGCCTCCTTGGAGCATACAGCTCACTTCCCTCTGGGCTTTCACTGGAAATAAATGTCCAGAATTCCCCCATCCTGACTGAGAAGGGCAGCTCCAAAACCACAAAGGCTAATAGTATTGGAGAGTCTTAGAGGCTAACAGCCCAGACCCGAGTTCCCTGGAACCTAGAGCTCCCGATAGAAACCCGGACATCTCAGGCAAATCAGGAGGGTGGGTCACCCCTTCTTCTAGGGCTGAGATTTCTGTTTCTTAAATATAATTTCATTGATTTCAGAGAGGAAGAGAAAGATAGAAACATCAATGATGAGAGGGAATCATTGATTTGGCTGCCTCCTAAACACCCTCTACTGGTGATCGAGCCCACAATCCGGGCCTGTGCCCTTGACCAGAATGGAACCCGGGGCCCTTCAGTCTGGAGCCAGACCCAGGGCAGACTCACAGGCGTTTCAGGAAGACCCTAGGGCAGAGTTTCTCAACAGCAGCACTTGGCATTGTATGCAGGGTAACTGGGGAAGAGGAGGGAGTGCACTGTAGCAAGTTTAATAGCATCTCTGGCCTCCACCCACTAGCTGCCAATAGCCCCACCTTGTTATGACAATGAAAGATATTTGCAAATGCCTCCTGGGAGGGAAAGCAAAATTGCCCTCAGCTGAGAGCCGCTGCCCTAGAGAGATATGTCATTTGCTACCTTCCCCAAGAATTCAGGACTGTTGGGCACAAATCAAGGCCAGGAGAGGGGTGTCCTGGCTTCAGGCTGGGCCCAGTCACCCCATTTGCCCACATGGTAGCCTAATGGCTACACACCCCTCTCCCGCGAGAAGAAGCAGAGTTAGCCTGGTCGCTGGGGTCCCCGGGTAACAGTGCCACCTGGGCAGTTGCCCCTAAACAAGCTCTTCCCACTGGGCATTTCAAGGATCACCTCCTGTCCTATGAGATACTCTGTGGGGAAATAAAAGGAGGCAGGAAGAACAATGAATACATGTCAATTCACTAAGTGCATTCGATCTGAAGGCTCTGAGAAATCTTGCAAGAAAGACACTTGTTTAAATGTTACAACCCAGACTTACGCCCAGGTCAGTGATGGTGAACCTTTTGAGCTCGGCATATCAGCATTTTGAAAAACCCTAACTTAACTCTGGTACCGTGTCACATATAGAAATTTTTTGATATTTGCAATCATAGTAAAACAAAGACTTATATTTTTGATATTTATTTTATATATTTAAATGCCATTTAACAAAGAAAAATCAACCAAAAAAATGAGTTCGCGTGTCACCTCTGACACGCGTGTCATAGGTTCGCCATCACTGGCCTAGGTCAACCTGTCCATGAAGATGGAAACTCAAGGGCTCCATCTCTGGACTACGGGCTATTTGGAAACTCTGGCGCCCTCCCTGGAGTTTCTGAGCAGGTCCAGAGGGCTTGCGATCTTGTAGTCACTTCTGGCTCTGAGTAGGGCCTCCAGCTGAATTGTCCAACTTATTCATAACACCCCTCTTCCCACTTCCCCCTCATTTCTGCTCTGTGCGGACCAAGATGTGGGTTTCACTTGCCTTTGCATGATTTCCCTTCCCCTGAAGACCTGCTCCGGCATTGCGGAGGTTCATAGCAGAGGACGTCTTTCTGTGCTTCTAGCCCCATTTTCCTTAGAAACTTTCCTCATTGTCTCCCTACCTCGTGATTCATCCAGCCTCCCCCTCTGGCACCCAACTCCCTTCTCCTCACTTTATTGTACACAATACCTTCGCTTTCCCTTCCTTGTTTGATCTCTTGGACCTACTTTTGCACTTTCGAAGCCTTGTTAGCAGGTGGCTACATAATTTATCGTTCAAACTATGACACTTTTGAGAGTGAAAGGGGACCTAATGATATTTTGGGGGAACAACAGGCATCCACCAGGAAAGTCCCCAGAAAACCAGGGCGCATGATCACCATACATCTCTGCTACAACAAAGACTCTCTACGCCAGGATGCGCTCTTTATCAACCCAGAAAACATGGCAGAGGCTTGGAAATTGTCCTGTTTCCTTCCCACCTTCTCCCCTCGCCATCCCTATAAGAGGATGGAGGGAGGGGTGTGTTTTCTTATTGGTAGTGGCTTCCATCAGCTCTGGCTGTAAGTGAAAGGTGGTTTTTCTTTTCTCCATTATTCTGTTTGTTCATTATTTCCCAAACTTATTTGGTCATAGATCTCCTTTCCTCTCTCCATCCCAATGCCCATTAACATCTCCCAGAACTAGAAGAACACACTTTGGGGTTTTTGAGTCCAGAGGGAGGGAGGATTGTCTGTCTCCGCAGCCACTGAAATCGCCTTGGGTGATGACAGGATTAGGATGGAGTGGAGACCAGGAATCCAGCTTCAATGAATGAGGGAGAAATCCGAGAGTGACAGAGAGTGGTACAAGCAAAGGCACGATCCCCAAAGGACCAGGGGGCTCTGTACTAATGTTCCACAGGCAATGCTGTCAGAAACACGGCCTTGGATCACTGGTTCCCAAACTCTGGAGCTGGTTTGCTGCACAGATCTCGTCTCCTATGCCCCCCACCCCCCATTCCTGGCACACGTATCTCCTTGCTGTTCTTGGACCATGTAAGGCTCACTCCACCTCAGGGCCTTTGCACCTGCTGCGCCTTCCACCTGAATGCTCTTCCCATGGACCCCCAGGTCTCACTCTCTCACTTCCTTCCCTGACCATGACCTTCCCTGACCATCTAATCTACAGTAATCACTTGTACCTGGTAGGCCATACCTGCTCGGACTGGCTTTAGTTTTTGCCATAGCACATGCCACCATCTGGCAGCCTATGTATTTGCCTGTTTATTTGTCCACTGCCTGTCTTCCCCTCCTAGACAGGAAGCTCCAGGAGGACAAAGATTTGTCTGTTGGGTTCACTATTATAGTCCCAGAGTCTAGATCATGGTGGCATTTAATAAAGGATTTAAATGAAGGAAAGCAGGAGTGGATCAATTGCAAAGTTTAGACATCTTCCAAAGTTCCCTGGGAGCTGTGCCTGGTCAGTGGTGACATGTAGCCCACTTCCACCAGCTCCTCCTTTCCCAGGTGGGAGCTCATTCTGTGTGGGAGCTCACCAAGTCTCACTCCCTCAGTAAAGCAGTCCTCCACCCTTGGTATATTGTCAAGACACCCAGGAGTGTCAGCCATTCACATCTCCACAGTCATGAGCATGCTCATAATGAACTCCTACAGGGTGCTAATTCCCTACAGGGCAGAGCAGGAGAGGCAAGATCCAGAAGCTGGGCCCTGGATAGCATGAACTCCCTCCTCAGCCCTGACCTCAGGAGGGGCAAGAGCTAGAAAGGACTCCCGTGTTGGCCCGTCCCTCTCAGGGACCTGGGGCCATGGGTAGTTGGGAAAGATATGTCCCTTGTCTTTTACGTCACTTCTTTCCTGTAGAATTTTACTTTGTTTCCAATAAATAAGAAGAATACACATTTCCCTCCATCAGAATATGTTTTATGCATTTCTTAAGCGCGCAACGCACACACATACACCTAATGCAAAAGCTGTATCAGGATCCAGCTGGGGCACAGATCTGACTCTCCACGCTGAAGCATCTCATTGGCTTCCCATCATTTGAATACAATGGAGGCATATTCCACTTGGTCTGGCGATGTCCTCCTGGAGCGATCAAAAGGGGGCATGTTGGCATAGACAGCGAAGTCCTCCTCTTTCCAGGGGGCCAGGTGGATCACGTTGGAATATATGGCATCAGCATGGCAGGAAAGCTCCTTTAGAGATAGGACCCTGTTAGAGTCAGGTGGCTGGGCACAAAAGACTTCTAGAGACAAGACTTACTACTGGGCTCCCTACGGGACAGGAAGTGGAACACTGGGTTCTTGCTGAACAAACCCTAGATCAAGGGTGGGCAAACTTTTTGACTCGAGGGCCACAATGGGTTCTTAAACTGGACCGGAGGGCCGGAACAAAAGCATGGATGGAGTGTTTGTGTGAACTAATATAAATTCAAAGTAAACATCATTACATAAAAGGGTACAGTCTTTTTTTTCAATAGTTTTATTCATTTCAAACGGGCCAGGATCCAGCCCGCGGGCCGTAGTTTGCCCACGCTGCCCTAGATCCTGCTCAGTTTTCAAGAACATTCCTTTTATAGCTGTTCTTTGCCTCACCCCCACCTCCATATGTCCTGCTCAGTTTTCAAGAACATTCCTTTTAAAGCTGTTCTTTGCCTCACCCCCACCTCCATATGAGATTCATTTAGGAAAGAGCATGAAATCATGGAGGAGATGACTGGGAGATGAAATCATCAGATATGACTCAACTCTTTCCTTACCGAGGATTTGTGGAGAAAGTTGGTCTGATGCCTCAGTTGTTTCTTAAAAAGTCCTAGAGAAATTAATAAACTCAGAGTCAGCCTGGAGCAGTAACTACCTTTACTTGGTCAATTGCTGGACTTAGGGTTGAACTTTGAAGTTCAAAATCCACTATGTTCAACCCATTGTGCCTCTGAGACTGAGCTAAATGCCCAGGAAGAGAAAGAGGGAGTATTGGTACACTATAATGTTGGTTATTATTTAGATGAGATTATTTGGCATCAACAGTTCTTCTAGTTGATGCATATAAAAATAAGTATATATGCAGATTGCTTATACTGTATATAGCTTTCAGCATAAGGCATTTGTATCATAAATAAATCGTATTGCTACATGTAGAATCCATGGCAACTCCAGAGAACAGACCCCAGAGCTTACCCACGCTTCCTCTTTCCCAAAGCTGCCCCACAGGAAAGATACCCCCAAGTGCAGCCCCAGTTCCTCCCCTTTCTACATTTCCAGTTCTTGGGCCAACTTGTTGGACTCACTCTCATGCCTCCATTTCTTCAGGGCCAGGGACAAGAGACCCACTAGGAGCAAGATGAGGACCACAACACCAATGGAGCCAGAAACAGCTTCTGCTATGCCGAAGCTGAGGAGAGCAAATAAGAGAAAGGAGAACACTCCAGCTGCCCTGTGTGGCTTTGTTGATGAGGAGAAAGTTGGTCTGATGCCTCAGTTGTTTCTTAAAAAGTCCTAGAGAAATTAATAAACTCAGAGTCAGCCTGAGCTGGAGCAGTAACTACCTTTACTTGATCAATTGCTGGACTTAGGGTTGAACTTTGAAGTTCAAAATCCACTATGTTCAACCCATTGTGCCTCTGAGACTTAGCTAAATGCCCAGGAAGAGAAAGAGGGAGTATTGGTACACTATAATGTTGGTTATTATTTAGATGAGATTATTTGATGCATATAAAAATAAGTATATATGCAGATTGCTTATACTGTATATAGCTTTCAGCATAAGGAATTTGTATCATAAATAAATCTTATTGCTACATGCAGAATCCATGGCAACTCCAGAGAACAGACCCCAGAGCTTACCCACTTTTCCTCTTTCCCAAAGCTGCCCCACAGGAAAGATACCCCCAAGTCCAGCTCCAGTTTCCCTCCTTTCTACATTTCCAGGTCTCGGGCCAGCTCGTTGGACTCACTCTCATGCCTCCATTTCTTCAGGGCCAGGGACAAGAGACCCACTAGGAGCAAGATGAGGACCACAACACCAATGGAGCCAGAAACAGCTTCTGCTATGCCGAAGCTGAGGAGAGCAAATAAGAGAAAGGAGAACACTCCAGCTGCCCTGTCTGGCTTTGTTGGTGACCATCCACACAATCGCCCTGGGGCTTCCCCTCTCCGGTAGGAGCTCTCCTGCCTCTGGGCTTCCATCTGCTGCCTCCATTTTGAGCCTCTTTTCTCTGCCCCAGGCTCCCTGGCCATGGTCCCATTCACACCAGGCCAAGAAGACCCTTTGTCCAAAACCCTCAATACTCCTCCTTAGGGCCAGCCCTTCCCTCACCCACCTGCTACGTCCTTCAGGTGTAGTCTCTGGCTTCAGGGTGGTGACATTCTCTGCAAAAAGGGACGGGGAGGAAAAGAGAAGGAGATTTGAGAGTAAATTTTACACACAGGCTCTATACTGAATGTTTGTGTCCTGCCAAAATCCATATTTTAAAACCCACTCCCTAATGTGATGATTAGATCATGAGGGTGTGGCTCTCATGAATGGATTAGTGCCCTTATAAAAGTGTCCTGGAGAGCCGCCCACCCCTCCTACCTATGAGGACAGAGTGCAAAACAGCTGTCTATGAACCAGGAACCGGGCTCTCACCAAACTGAATGTGCCAGTGCCTTGATCTTGAACTTACCAGCATCCAGAACTATGAGAGATAAATTTCTGTTGTTTATAAGTCACCCAGTCTACAGTAATTTGTTATACCAGCTGGAACTAACACAACACGCATGCAGATAAGCTCTACAGGATCTACACGTGTCTTTATTGGGGACTTCATATGTGCAGGGCACATTATTTCATTTAAACTTCAATGAGATTGGAACAATTACTATTCCCATCTTACAGTAAAGAAACAAGCTCAGGGTCATAGAGGTAGAAAGTGGCCAAGTTTGGAACTTGACCTCCCTTCTCTCTGACTAAAACTGTGTCTTTAAGCACACGACACGCCCCTGCCTTTGTGTGACCATTTTATTCCTGAGTTCTATTATTCTTACAAAGGGTTAAAGGTTTCCGTCTATGATAGGATGTCCAGAGAAAAGAAAACCAGGATGGTGGAGTTCTTTGGTGCCCTGGGAAGGGCATGTGAAGGGTGGGACGGGAATGTGGGTGGTGGGAAGGGTCAGGACATCAGCCAGTTGGACTGGAACTAGGTAGAGGTGGCAGGTATGAGAGCCTGTCCATGCTCTGGTGGTGGTGGTGGTGGTGGGGAAGGGGTTCTATTATTCATACTTTAAAAAAAACTTCTCCTTCTTCAAGGGATGGAGACCCCAAACTCATCCCCTCTCCAGCCACATCTATCCCTGGATTTTTAGGGTTAGAAGGAATCTTAAAACATATCTAGCCAAACTCTCCTGCTGTACAGGTGAGGACACTTAGGGTAAGCCACTTGCCCCAGGTAAGTGCTGCATCCAGGACCTGAGTCCATGTTTTCAACTCCAACCCCAACACTCTCTCCCCTCGCACCCAGGCCTCTTCCTGTTTCTTCCCCCAGAGCATGGAGCTGCATGATTCAACCCCTCAGAGCAGGCAGCACCTCTCCACACCCATGTTTGGGGACCTGCTACTCAGACACCCAAAAGCAAAGATTGCTGCCAAGGTGGGGTGAAGGAAACCAAAGCATTTTGAGTTGTTCATGTAGAAAATAATACAACAGTTAATAAATAATCATACAAGAATAAACTGTTTCGAGTACTAACAACTGTAAACCTACTTTTGCCACACGGGATCCCTAGGGCAATCTGCCAAGAAATAGCCTTCAGGGGTGGGAGCAGCATGGCCAAACGGCATTGTGTCGGCACCCACTGGCGCACTTCCTCTCTGCCTCTTTCCTGTCCCCCTTCTGAGTAAGTTGGCTGACCTCACGACATTTCTCTTTTGACAGCTCCTGCCCACCTTCTGGGTGAGGGGTAGGGAGGGACCTTGGAAACCAGATCAATCCAGTGCCCACAACACTGACACCCAAGATGAGGTACCAAGTCACAGGGCTTGACGCGTGGGGGAGTGGGGTGGGGTGAGATGTCACATGTAAGTCTGGAGCAATGAGAGGGTTGCCTGGGGCACCAGCTGGGATTGACTGGGGTAGGGCACACCTGTTACCAGCAAGCAGGACAGACAGCATGAGGGCGTCTATCTGCGGACAGAGAGACAAGGACACATCCTGGGAGGGCAGGGGAGAGGCAGAAGGGGTGAGGGGAATAAGCATGGAGGAGGATGTCATGAAAGAACCTGAGATTTAGAGTCCAGGGACATGGATCATAGGCACATCCTAACTGTGTGATCTTAGGACAGTCACTTCATCATTTTGAGCCCCGTTTTCTTCATCTGTGAGATGGACAGAGCACGAATACCTACATCGCAGGGTTCTTTAAGACCTAAATGTTCAAACTATTATTTAACAGTAAGTAATAGCCACTTTGCCCATTTTCAGCTGGTCTTACCCCAGCAGAGCAATGCTGTGAGGTTATCCAGGGAGGCGTTGCTACCTCTGGAGTCCTGGTACCTACAGTTGGTCCAATTCATTTCGACAAGATCCCACTCAGGAGGTTCTCGTCCCAGGTCCTGAGGTTCCTGGGACAGGCGGTCCCCTTTCACTGGACGCAGAATTTCTCAGAGGCGTTTTGCAGCAGCTGGCAGACACAGGACCCCAAGAAGCTGGCACCCCT